AAATTGTTACTGTTGCAGAAATACATATCAAAAAGCAAAGCACATAATCACCTAAAGAGTATTTATAAATGCATTGTAATGCATATACAGTATTATGTAGAGAAAATGCTGTTTCATTAAAATACATTACACCATTCACTAGAAATGTTCACAAACGAAACAAAACCTGCTTCTGAGTTATTTATATAGTATTTAATGAATGTATTGTAAACACAGTGAATATTACATAAAAAGGTACTCACCGCCACCCATAGACTATTTATGATTTATGAAGCATAACAGCATTGCCTAACAAAGCATGCTGCTGCACCCGGAGGTGTATGGTTTCCCCACGCTGAGCATTTTTTCTTTACAGCTGTAACTGTTGACAGTTTCATCAGCGAACACAGACTGAAGAATATGAGTCAAAGGTGACATTTAAAACAGTTGGTTTTGGCATTGATTCATGAGAAAAAAATTATGGTTTTCTTTCTAATCTGGCATTAAGCCGAAATGGATGGTAGACAAAAAAAACGAAAAACACTTGGAGGGTGGATTTTGGTTTATTTATAATTTGCATCGTAAGAGATTTTTTACTGAAACACCTGGATAAATGTTTGCATGTTATCTGCTGATCAGATTTCATCATGAAAATTGAACAAATCTAAGCTAGTAGTGCAGGGGAAATCCCTAAGCTCCATGAAAATAAATTGTGAGCGTTTTCCTTTTTTTTTTTTTCGAAAGACAGAGGTACTAAACCAGTGGTGGTCAACATACTTGATAAAGGGGGTTTCAAACACTGTCCCTGACATCAGCAAATAGCTTCCCATGATATTCAGGGAATGTAATGCCACAGAAAGATTAAATGAGAAAACATAACAATGTCGGGCTAGCTTTGTCTCACCAGGTGTTCTCCAAAGTGTTGGCTCCAGTCCTGGTGTTACTGAGACCTGTCACGTACCTGATGGGAGACTGAAATGACGAGGTCGGCCTCACGTGTGTCACTAGCCCTGACCCCGCTGGAGTTGGAACAGAAGGAGTCTAGGACCCAGAGGAACAAGAGTGCCAGTAGTTGTTGTTTGCAGCTCTTGCAGATGATGACCTTGGAAGGCTGATGATCCTCTGATTTTGGCACAGTAGTAGTAGGCAGAGCAGGTTTTGTAGATTGCCAGGCATGCACCAGAGCAAGGCAGGTAGTGAGGACAAGAGACAGGAGCAGTGTCATGGATTAGCCAGGGTCATCAACAGTCGGGCAGCACGATACAGAATCTGAAGGAAAAGCCAAGGTCAGGAGCAGAGCCGCAGTCAGGAACCAGTATCAGGAGAGCAATCAGAGTCAGGTGAGGAAGAAGCCAGGTCAGCAACAAAGGAATCACACAGGAACAAGCAGGACACGGGGGAGCTGAAGACCAGTCAGCACTGAACATGAGCAGAGGCACTCCTTAAATAGGTCATCTGGCGCCAATCTTCATCATGCGTGTGCATGTATGCAATTCTCCTGCGGGAATTCCTATGCGCATGCGCATTTCCGATCGCGATCCTTCTTGCCGGAAATCCCTTACAAGACAACTGGGGATTGCTTTGAATAGTTACTCAAACAATATAAGACTAACACAGGGGCGGACTGACCATTTGGGAACTCGGGCACTGCCCGAGGGCCCGGGGTCAGAAGGGGGCCCCATGAGTTGCCCCTGGTACCTTTCATAGGCTTTTTTGGGTGTGGCTTGAGTGTGGGCAAGGACACAGGGGCCCCATGATCTCCTATTGCCCGGTTGCCTCATGAGTTGTCAGTCCACCCCTACTAACATATAATATTAGTGAGAAAGAGATTCCATTTCTTGACCTAAAAATAACTGTGGAGAACAATGCACTGGTTACTGAAATGAACTGCAAGGAAACATCAGCTAACACACTACGAAAAGCAGACAGTTTCCATCCAAAACACTTAAAAGGTGGAATCCCAACAGAACAATTCTTATGTATCTGCCACAACTGTACGAAGATATCTGACTACCAAGAGGAAGTCAAACAAATGTATAAGAGATTTAGTGAAAGTGGGTATTAACATAAGCAAATTAAAAGTGCTCGAAAAAAAGCGGCCATACAGGATATGTCAGGAATGGACTGGCCAGCAATAGTGGGACTCACCTGCCTTGTGAGCTGCAGTACCAGGGCTGGCCAGCGGGTGCTCCCAGCAATCAGAGACTCAACCTTGCAGCCAGTCAAACACCTGGAACTAATTATACTGGTGTATTTAAGGGACATTCAGACCTGCAGACTCTGCCTTGGTGTTGTGTTTTTCCTGGGCCCTGTATCTTGTTCCTGCATCCTGCTCCTGTTCCTGTCCCTGTCTTGTTGCTGACCCGGCTTGATTCTGACCTCTGCTGACTTCTCCTGTTCGATCCCTGGCTTGTGACCCCGACCATTCTCTGCCTGACCCCCTGTACCTACCTGCCTGTTAGTTGCTGTACCCTGCTCGTGACCTGACTATTCTCCGCTTGCTCCCCCTGTACCTACCTGCCCGATTGATATTGACCCGGCCTGCCTGACGCTTGCACTGTATGTACTGTTATCTGTGTGTGGTTTGGTTTGGTTCATTTGCACTGTGTTATGTTTTAGTATTGCACTGCGTTTATGTTTGTATTGTTAGTGTTAATAAATTGTTTATAACTTATCTGAAGTCTGCGTTTCCCTGCGTCAGTCACACACCTCTGGTCATACCCGGGAGCCCTGACAGGATAGGTCAACTTTAGTTAAACAAGATGAATCAGTTTCATGATAACAAGAAAAGGAATTTGTTAGCCTAATCACGCAATATGGAGCACAGTGGCAAATGGTGAGGGAGGTACTTTGTGTACACTGGAAAGTTCTGACTAGCTGCCCATCCTTAGCTGGAATATTCAGCCCGGAGCACAAAATGGTGGTATGTAGAGCAACGAATCTTGGGGACTACCTAATTATTATTTTATTACAGGTACTTATATAGCACCATCAATTTATGCAGCGCTTTACATACATATATATTACATTCACATCAGTCCCTAACACTCAAGGGGTGTATAATCTAAGGTCCCTAACTCGCATTCATACATACACATTCTAGGGCCAATTTAGACAGGAGCCAATTAACCTACCAGCATATCTTTGGAGTGTGGGAGGAAACCGGAGTACCCAGAGGAAGCCCACGCAGGCACAGGGAGAATATGCAAACTCCAGGCAGGTGGTGTTGTGGTTGGGATTTGAACCAAGGAGCCTAGTACTGCCAGGCAGAAGTGCTGACCATTTAGCCACTGTGCTGAGATTTGTGAAATCTCTTAATGATAACTAGCTCTCCCAATACCTGAGAGCAAAGGGCATGTTGCCCTGTGGCCACTGCCAGGTCTGCCCTTTTGTGGATAGAACCAGTGTATTTTCTGACTCACAAGATACTAAAGAATACCACATAAATGGTACAATTAACTGCTCTACAGCAAGAGTCATTTATATGATGACATGCCCATGGACAAAATATATCAGTAGGACAAGACAATTTAGAGTAAGGATTGGTGAACATATGGGCAAAATTAAGAAAAAAATGTGGCACAACATTTTGCTAAATTCTACGATGGCAAATTAGACGGCCTCAAAGTAAACAACACAGGTCTCTCTCCAGTCAGCATGGACATGCTGCTTTGTATCTCTCTGCACAGCAGAGAGATACAAAACAGCATGTCTCCCTAGTAAAACACAACATAGTGCACACAGTGAAATACACACAGCACGCAATTATCCCTTTGATCACCCCAGATGTTAACCCCTTGCTGCCCAGTGTCATTAGTAAAGTGTCAGTGCTTTTTATTAGCACTGATCACTGTATTAGTATCATTGGGGATGTCAGTGGCAGTTAGTCTGTTCCATCCCAGTGTCAGAATGCCTGCTGCAGTCCCATTATAAGTCGCTGATCACCACCATTGCTAGTATAAAAAAAATTTAAATTAAAATCCCATCATATATACCGCCATTTGTAAATGGTATACCTTTCATGTAAACCAATTAATTTACACGTATTGGGTTTTTTCTTAGCAAAGACATGTAGCAGAATACATTTTGTCCTAAATTTATGATGAAATTTGTCTTTTAATTTTTTTATTGGATGTGTTTTATAGTAAAAAGTAAAAAATATTGGGTTTTTTTTTTCAAAATTGTCGGTCTTTTTTTGTTTATAGTGCAAAAAATAAAAAATTGCAGGGGTGATCAAATATCACCAAAAGAAAGTTCTATTTGTGGGACAAAAATGACATAAATTGAATATATGTACAGCGTTGCATCGCAAAAAATGACCTGGCCAGGAAGAGTGGGTAAATTCTCTGGAGGGCAAGTGGTTAACAGATGACAGGACAGCAGGCAGGGGTCAAGGAATGGAGCAACTCTTGAAAAAGCTGAGATATGCCCATGCACAGTACAGTAAAATCAGTTGACGAGATGTCTTTCTGGGGCAATGTGTATAGGAGCTAGACAGGCACTGTATCATCACACATGATTGAACAACCATGGACTTCCTTCCTAACATCTGATGGCTATTGGAAGCTTCCACCCCATATCTTTCATCCTGAGGTAGTGGCCACATATACCAGCCGATCTTCTGCAGATTAGAGAGTCATGTAAGTGTCTTTGATCAGCAACCTGAGATGAATGCAAGAGTGCACATGCCGCTCCATTGAAGGTCACTGTTCACTGGATGGATACATGCATTATAAAGACTAAGTAACAACTTCAGAATATCCGTGGAAATCTCTCCATAGCAGAGATTCCTAATCGACACAGTTTGCGTGGATGGGACTGCAGCATTATATCATTATTTGCTACAAGAGGTTTCCTAAACAAGTTATTACTGCTGAGTGAGACTGTGAACTATCAGCAATTATTTACCAGCAGCTACTATATATTTTTTTATAGGGTTAGCCATCACGATCAAGTTTGATGTGTATAACCCCATGATGCAAGCCCAGAGATGCGTATATACAGTACACTATATTGCCAAATGTATTGGGATACCCCTCCAAATCATTGGATTCAGGTGTTCCAATCACCTCCCATGGCCACAGGTGTATAAAATCAAGCACCTAGGCATGCAGACTGCTTCTACAAACATTTGTGAAAGAATTGCTCTCTCTCAGGAACTCAGTGAATTCAAGCGTGGTACCCTGATAGGTTTGCCACCTGTGCAATAAGTCCACCTGTGAAATTACCTTGCTACTAAATATTCCACGGTCAACTGTTAGTGGTATTATAACAAAGTGAAAGCAACAACAGCAACTTAAAATGACAAAGCGAGGTCAGCACATGTTGAAGCTCACAGTGCGCAGAAGTCGCCGACTGTCTGTCAGAGTCAATAGCTAAAGACCTCCAAAACTATTTATGTGGCCTTCAGATTAGCACAACAACAGTGCATAGAGAATTTCATACACTGTATACAGTATGTACCCATTGTGGTTAAATACAGCAATTGAGCTTCTAGGGGTATCTTACCTGATTTGATATCATAACTCCACATCACATCCACCATTTATCCTGTTAATGGAGGTTTAAATTATTTAGACTGTCACCCAATAGTGGAGGTCTACAAGGTGGTTCTCTTATGTGGTTCCATTGTCATGTTTAAATCAATAACTCATTGGGCAATGCCTTATTCATGAACTACGTGATTTGATGATTCCCCAAAACTTTAGCTTGAGCCATACCTATGTCCGCTGGGTCTATTTAGCCTAATGTATAGGTGAAATGCACATTCCTAGCATCAAGAATTGGGAAGTCGATTACCTCAGTCATTAGATGACACTGGATCAGGAAGAGTGGTCTCTGCAACCAGATGGTTTTTGACAGATCTGCCTATGGTCGGGAACCCTGGAATGAGTCTTCTGGCTTCCTGCCTCACTGGGAGGGGCCACAGTTGTGGCAAGAGTGCAGGACCCTCTGGTAGATTCAACGGATGTGCTGGTGGCATTGTGAGACCAGTATCATCTCTTTTTCTGCCTTTCCTTCTTTTAGGCTGCTACCTCACCTGCTGCACAAGTTTGTGGGATACGATTCTGGTCATTCTGGTGACTCCAGACTGCTCTTGGGTATGCTGGCATGGTGCAGCTGGTCCCAGACACTTGCCTCTTTAGGAGGACCATCTGTCCCAGGGTTTGGTTTACCTTCCTGGGTTTACCATCTCTGGCTGGAAGACATGACTTTTTTAAGCCAGCTTTGAGGGACAGGGAGTTGTCAGGTTTGGTATTCTCCAGAATGCTTGAAGGCTTGCATGCCTACACTTTCGAACATTTATCATTGCACCTGGATGGCTTAGATTGCCAGGTTGCAAGGCTCTGGGTGCCTCTTCACGTCTCAAGGTGGTTGGGTGCTAGTCTTTCTTCAATGGGGAGTTGGCCAAGAATTGCCTTGAGTACTATTGAGGGTCAAGTTCCCACCTCGTGGTCTTCATCCACTTTCAAGTTTGCATGGCAGTCACCTGGTTGTCTCTGCATTCTTTTCTGAATTTTATGAGTTGGTGTGTTTTGCATCTTCGGATGCTTGTTTTTGGCCACAAGGTTGCTGGCTGCTGTTTGATATTTAGTTTTTGCCCCTTTAGGAATTATTTAGGTGGTTGGCATGTTTGTCTGGTTGCTCCATTTGCTTTATTGTTTGCTCACACCTTGTTGAGGCAACTCTTTGAGACGTTGCTATGGTCAAGATTCAAAAGCACTGTGTTCATTCAATGAACATAAGAGAAAACAGGATTTTTTGTTACTCACTGTAAAATCCCTTTCTGTGAATTCAATGATGGACACAGTACCCACCCCTCTATTGGCATTTATGTTTTTCTGACACTGTTTTGTTACAAACTTGATTACCAATAGCAGAGGTGGATTTATGCCAGAAGGGACTGGTATATATTTGTGACACGTTACATGTTACATCAGTGAAGTGTAACATGTAACATGTTACTTTGGAGCAGCCCCTTGCACCCCAGCTGACCTTCTGTGTGACAGTGGATGGGGGATCCTTTCCACACATGCACTGTCACATTTTAAAAACAGCAAGGATGTGCTGGGCTCACAGACGCATTATTCATTTACATAGTTCTGTTAATGAATAAACTTGCAGACAGCTTGTAGTTCTCAATGAACTGTGACAGTGCTGGTGAGCGTACTCGTAATGCACCAATTCTTCCTGCACTTCAGTAACTCTATGCCCATATTGAAGTGGGCAGACAGCTGTACTGAGAGTCTACAGGAGCCTAGCAATGCACTCTGCAATGCTTTGCAGGCTGCAGTGTAAAAAAAATAATAAATGCACATTTTTTTTCTGCAAAAATCATGTGCATGTATTATTTTTTATTTATTTTATTATTTTTTTTTTATAAAAGGTGAACCTAGCCATTAAAGTGGTATTAAACCCAAACGCAACATTTTATTATTTTGCAGCTTATTAATTCTAGGTTGTCATAGTTCTATTAGTTTTCTTTGTTGGCTTTCTTCCTTTTATTTTCATTTGGTGATCTGGCCAGTAAGTCTGTTGTTCTTCAAAAGAACAAGCTCTCTTCCAGATGTATCAGTTTAACTGCTTCCCGTCCGTCTATTGCCTATAGATGGTAGACAGGAAGCAGCACCAATGTGGGCTAAGGTACATCAGCCCGCATCACAGAGCATGCATCCGGGAGCCCGGTGATCCTTACGTCACCTGGAAATTCTGAAGGACCCTCTGCACACTGGTATATACCCTTTCAAGCAAACTATGCAACAAATAGGGATATTTGGTTCACACATATTGCAATACATGTTTAAGCTGGCCAACTGCGTCAAAGTAAATCCCTCTATGGCCAGTCCTACTCTGCCCTGCCTACGCAAGTGCTGCTGTGGACACAATGCTAACATAGGGGAAAAGACACAATGGGGAGAGCTACAAGGTTCAGGTCTGGCTACTGACCCAACAATACAACAAACAAGAGATCCCTGTGCTCAAAATCCATACAGCTAGTGCATGCATTTATCCATCAGGTGCTAAAGGGGTGTAACCACATTAAACTCTAGAAATTCTGAAGGACCCTCTGCACACTGGTATATACCCTTTCAAGCAAACTATGCAACAAATAGGATATTTGGTTCACACATATTGCAAAACATGTTTAAGCTGGCCCAACTGCGTCAAAGTAATCCCTCTAGTGCATGCATTTATCCATCAGGTGCAAAAGAAAGCTCTATTTGTGTGAAGAAAATGATAAAAATTTAATTTGGATAGAGTGTTGCATGACTGTGCAATTGTCATTCAAAGTGTGACGGTTCTGAAAGCTGAACAGTGGCCTGGACTGGAAGAGGGTGAAAATGTCCGGATTGAAGTGGTTAAAAGGGATGGAACAAACCATTAAATAATGGCAGGGATGCTTTCCATGATCAGCTTTTTATTATTTGTGTTAAATTTTAATCCCAAAAGGAAACTGTTTATAACGTTTGAGCTGGAGTTTGGCTTCAATTTGTTAGTGTAAAAATCTAAAAAATCTATATCTGCTAGTACATTTAACTCTTGCCCTCCCCCTAGACTGACAAAGATGCTGTCCCAAAGGTGCCCCATGCGCTCCTTCACCCAGAGTGGGAGCACTCTAATAACTCTTTTAAGTAAGCCTGAAAACAGATTATGGCTGAAGGGCCCCAAGAGCCACACACAGTACGTGCCAAAGGGCTGCATGTAGCCCCAAGGCTGAAGGTTGGTCTTCAGGGATGTAACTCTAACCCTTCACAAAAAACTGCCTATGCAGGTAAGAGGTTTTGTAAAAAGAAACAAACTGTGCAGCGCTGACTAAAGTTGAATAATGCCCTTGCTATTAGTCCATTTAATACCTTCCAAAGCCTAACTGGAGTACTCCCAGGACATTGTTAGGGTGTTTGCTAAGTGAGGCCTAGTCATTACTGCTCACCTCCACCATCACAGGAGCGAGCTCTTTCTCTGATGCAGGGCCCCCTCACATGTTCTTTCTCTCCCCTGATGTAGTAGCTCTGAGCTCAGTATTTGAGAGCTCACTTCTGTGATGGAGGAGGCGGAGAAGTGAAAAGTGCATTTTACATGTCTCAATAGTCAGTGGTTTATGAGAGGGTTCAGGCTTGTATATATAGCTGATATATGGTAAAACCCCCTTTACAAGATGATTAAAAACTTTAATAAGTCTCCCTTAGGAGTTAATTCTCTTCTTTGCTATGTGCAAGGTGCGTCATATTTGGAGGTATTTATAGAAGGTCAATCTTTTGATAGAAGAGCATAGATCCTGAGAGGATTTCAGTTGTGCATCCTGATATGCTGTCAGTGCCCATGCAGTGGACACCTGCTTTGAGCAATGATTGTAGAGAGGTATTTTCAATGATCGATTCTAAGGAGCAAAGCAGAAGATGCTCTGCTTTATTTGAGAAGCCTTTGACATTTTCTTAAATAGAGTTCCAGGTTCTTGGAGTTGCAATAATTATGTCAAGGTAAGATGTGTGCATTGTAGCAAAGCAGTCCCCAATGTGTTTGAAATCAGATGTTAGAGTAGTATGCTTAATTTTAGGCCAAGATGGATCTGGAGAGGTGCACCTCCAGTGTTTGACTTGCTATAAAATTGTGGCTTTGTAGTATTTTGTGATATCAGGTGCTCTCATGCTTGCATAGAGAGATAAAGTGAGGAGTTCTGAATATACAGTTTTCTTGTAGCCTCATATGTAGAAGTTTAAAGAGTTGCTTGAAGTTTTCATAAATGGGATGGGAGAGAATAGGAAGTGGAAAGTCCTGAATGCATTGTGGTAGGGAGTAACATTTTACTTAATGATATATGTCCTGCCCATGAGGTTTGAACACAATGAAGGTCTGTACATGTTGAGATATGTAAGTAAAGTAGAATAGTAAGAGTTTGTTGCTGGGTGTAAGTAGCTGAATCCCAAGGTATTTAATAGAGACATGCCCATGAGCAGGGGACCATGCAGAGGATTTGAGCTTTAGTGAAGGAGTCTAAGCCAATCATCAGCATATGGGATTTTTAAAAAATTAACTTTATATAGGGACTTTTCCCTAAATCAGTCAAGCAACCTACACAGAGAAGGTGACAAGTGTAGAGGATTGGTCAGATAGAGAAGTACACTATATTTCCAAACGTACTGGGACACCCCTCCAACTCATTAGATTTGGGTTTTTCAATCACCTCCATGGCCACAGGTGTATAAATTCAAGCACCTAGGCATGCAGACTGCTTCTACAAACATTTGTGAAAAAATGGGTCGCTGTCAGGAGTTCAGTGAATTTAAGAGAGGTACCAAGATAGGTTGCCACCTGTGCAATAAGTCCATTCATCAAATTTCTTGCTACTAAATATTTCACGGTCAACTGTTACTGGTGTTATAATAAATTGGAAGCAACTGGGAACAACAGGCCACGTAAACTGACAGAGTGGGGTCAGTGCATGCGGAAATGCAGTTGTCAACTGCCTACAGAGTCAATAGCTAAAGACCTCCAAACTTCACGTGGCCTTCAGATTAGCACAACAACAATGCATAGAGAGCTTCATGGAATGAGTTTTCCATGGTCGAGCAGCAGCATCCAAGTCTTAGATCACCAAGTGCAAGGCGAAGTGTTGGATACAGTGGTGTAAAGTCAAGCCTCCACTGGACTCTAGAGCAGTGGAGACGTGTTCTCTGGAGTGACGAATCACGCTTCTCTGTCTGGCAATCCGATGGACATGTCTGGGTTTTGGGCAATTGCCAGGAGAACGGTACTTGCCTGACTGCATTGTGCCATGTGTAAAGTTTGTTTGGAGGGGGGAGTATGGTGAGGGGTTGTTTTTTTTCGGGGTTGGGCTTAGCATCTTAGTTCCAGTGAAGGGAACTCTTAAGGCAATCAGCATATCAATACATTTTGGACAATTGCATGCTCCCAACTTTGTGGGAGCAGTTTGGGGATGGCCCCTTCCTGTATCAACGTGACTGCACACCAGTGCACAAAGCAAGGTTCATTAAGACAGGGACGAGCGAATTAGGGTGGAGGAATTTGACTGGCCTGCACAGAGTCCTGACCACAAGCCGATAGAATACCTTTGGAATGAATTACAGTTGAGACTGCGAGCCAGGCCTTCTCGTCTGACATCAGTGCCTGACCTCACAAATGCGCTTCTGGAAGAATGGTCAAACATTCCTATAGACTCACTCCTAAACCTTGTGGACAGCCTTCCCAGAAGAGTTCAAGCTGTTATAGATGCAAAGGGTGGGCTAGTCAATGGTTTCATGACTAAAAAAAAGGGGATATAGGGGATAAGGGACACCCTTGTTGGGTTCCATTGACACTGAAAAACAGGCTGGAAAGAAAACCCAATGTCCATACCCTAGCACTAGGATGAGTGTGAAGTGTTTGGATGATTGATTATATGCATCCAGTCAGGCCAAATTTTGTGAGAACAGATTTTAGGTAGGTCCATTGAACTCCATTGTACACCTTTTCTGCATCCAAAGAGAGGAGCAGAGAAGGTATTTGGTGATGTTATGCCCATTGAAGGAGGTCAGTATATTTTCAGGTCTCAACTGAGGTTTGTCATATGGGGACGAAACCGACTTGATTGGGATGAACCAACAAGGGGGTACATTTAGCCAGGAGCTTAGCATAGTGTTTTATACCAGTATTTAGAAGGGAGATCAGGTGGAAAATAGATAGGATTGTCGAGTGGCTTTTTGGATTTGAGAATGGTAAAAATAAGAGCCTGAAAGAATTTTCAAGGACACATACCATGATCTGCAAAGTGATTAAGAGTTGCATAAATGAAGTGCAAGGATATCAATGTAAGTTTTGTAATATTCGATTATTAAACCAGTCAGGGCCTGCAGCTTTGTGGAGGAGTAAGCCTATAATCACCTTTTTAACCTCTCCTTCAGAAAATGGATCATCCATCCAATCTTCTACTGATCAGGCGTTAAAGTTAAACAGCATTCAAGTGTCTAAAAATTTTTTTACAGCTTCCAACATAGGGGGAGAAATCAGGAGCTTCTAGTTGACATAGTTTTGGAGTTAAAAGTACTCTCAGTTGATTGACTATATTGTATCTAGAGGGTTTAAGATTTTTCCTACCATTGTGGTCTATCAGAAAGAGCATTTTGGATTTAACAGTTAAAATTTTTAAGTATACTAGCAACTCCAGATTAGATCACGTGCCATTTATATTTATCAATGGTTGTGAGATAGAGGTAAATGAGTCTCCAAGAGAGTAGCTGTGCAGGGGTATGCAGACATAAAGAGTTTCAGAGAGAGATTATGGTGCACTTGGAATCTGAACCATCTAATTAACCTCAATTGTGGAGCAGAGGTGATTTTTGTAAACGAGTAAAATAGAAATGATGATCCGAATCGACCAAGACGAAGTGGAATTCGGGGTTTCCGAAGATTGCGTAATAAATTCCGTATTCCGCGAGGGTGGGGGGGGAAAAAAAAAAAAAAAATCCGAAAGGATGAGCAAACTTCGATGCACGAATCGAATTTTCCCCCAAAAAATGATGGGGCGGGCGACATGTGTGGCGACGGAGAAAAATGGACAGAGAAGATGGGGCGGGGATCTCTGGTAAGGCGCGCAGACAAGGCGCAGTCATGAGCCCCTTAATGCATTCATGACATGTGATTGCATTAAGCCAATCAGCGCAGCCAAGGCAGCACTGTGTAATTGGATGGAAGCTATAAAATCCGCGGCCATCTTAGAATCTCTCCATTAGCCTCCGGTCATTCAGAAGAGACAGACCTGTGGATAAGGGACAGAGTTTGGGCCACAAGACTTTTGGGCCACGAATCATTACTCAGGGACACAGAATCGTACTCAGGACCAGAAACGTTACTCGGACAAGAATCGTTACTTAGGGGCCCCAGCTACAAAGAATCGAAAATTTAAAGTGACAAACACCCTTTTTTTTTGTGGGGGCCCCCG